CATATGTTTGTCTTTGTTTGTTGAATTCATTAGGAGTTTGTCGGTTCAACTTGTACAAGAGGGATGATTTAGTTCATCAATTTTCTTGCAAACAGTTTGTGGAATTCATCAAGTTACAATTTTTTTTTTTAATTTAGTTCAAGATTTACTTCAGTTTATTTCTAACAAGCTCTAGTTTGAGAGAGTGTTTTGGAGAATTTAGGGTATTTTCCATACTTTTCTCATATGTAGTCAATGTTTTATGTTGTTAGATTGGGTACTGAGTTTTACTTTCTCTTGTTCTTAGGTATCTCTATAAATGTTATGTACTAATCTTGTTCTTAGATTTGCTTGCTTTGTTGTGCACCTAGACAAATTTCAAGTTTCTTCTTTCATCTGGGTGACGTGATATGCTCTGATTGTTTCAAAGTCTTAATTTTGTGAGACTCTTTCAGTACATAACGTCCTTTTAGAATTGAACATAAATTTAGCTTGTTGTGTAAACTATTACTCACCCATTTCAAATCTCAAAAATCTCCTGCATATGGCCTTTTTCTTTTCATTTGCGTTTGCAATTTTTACTTGTATTTGAATTACTGTTGCATTCTGTCAAATTTGATTGGGCGACTTAGTGGATGGTTTTGCAGTCAACTAAAGAAATTTTGTTCTTTTGGTTTGTTGTTTATGCAGCATTGGTTCCCGATTCTGTTAAGGCTGAGCTGCTACAGCGGATCAGAACTTTTCTTGCATCAGCTGCTATATAATATAGAGACGAGTGTGCAGTTGAAGAGTTGGACTGTTGTTTTCATGTCGAAGTGGTGATATCATGCTTTGCTGCTGTGAGGTTTCCCTGGAAAATTTAGTCAGATATTTTGGGATGCAGAGCTCAACGTTGGAAACGACTCATTCAGCAAAGAGTTCCTTGTGTATATGGTGGTGTGTAGGTCATGTTTGATAGGATTTAATCATCATTAGAATGAAAATCATTTGTAATAAAGCTTTGTTTGAAAAAAATTTGATAGATTTAAACTGTTTGTGATATTTTGTTTTTGCTAGGGCTGACTCGAGCATGGCTGGAATTGTAACATAATTTGGGTTAGGAAATTGCTGAGTGTTGCAGAATGATCATAAGTATGACTTGGGTTGGAATATTGTCCAAACATCGCTTGGGTTGGAATGGTCTCTGACACAAGCTTGTGTCAAGGCATTGTCCCATGCATTGGGATTTGGCTCTAGAGTATGATACCAATCATGGTCCGAGAAAGAGCAAGGTGCTGAGCATTACTTTAAATGGTTATAGATTCAATTTCGAAATTAGAAATAACCCTTTAATCTCGAAATTAGAAATAACTAAGAGGAAATCTCAAGGTACAATTTAAGATATGGTCAAGAGTGTCATAATAGAGAAAACTACCTTGTTGAATTGTGTTTTAGATTTGCAAGAACCTAGTTTAAAACTAAGCAAATATTGACATGTACATGGAAGGCAAATATAAGAAATAAAATATTAAGAAAGAATTCCAATTGTGCCATAGGGTTTTATATATATATTGACTATCTTAAAAATAAATCTAATATTTGTATAAAATTCATATGCAAATATATTTTTATTTCAACAAAAAAAGGAAGAAATTGCATATCATGATATATTTATTATCTTACCAACTACATTGAAATTGATTATATTTATTATTATACTAATTACATCTAAAAAACACTTATGAAGAACGAGTGAAAAATGAAGCCCGTGAAAAAGAAGTGTGTTGATACAATGAAAAATCTGAAAAACAATTGAAGAGTGTGGTATGGGTGGATGACAATCCTAAATTGATTGAAAAAGTGAATTATATACATATATATATGTATGTATATATCTATATAGTAGGATCATCAAGAGTAATACTATCCACAAGGTGAGTTTCACATTATCCTCTAGAAGAGTACGTATCATCGGTTAAATTATATTCATTACTTTTCGAGTTAAGACGAAGAAACACCCGATGTTATTGCATATAAATGGATAATAACTTAGAATTTAACAATTATATTGAATTATATTCTTTCAATATCGAAGAACACATAGGTAGCGCATAAAATCTTAAAATCGTAGAAAATTTTTTGTTGCTATATCATTATAGAAAAGAATTGTTATGGTTATAAATAATCCGAACTAATAATTAGAACTTACAATGAGCAAAAAAAGTTAGAATAGACAACGCATACTAACTATTTCTAAAGTAAATGAAGAATGCATATGATTGAAATCAATGATTCAATTATTTAAAAGAATGTGATAAAATATATATATCAACAATTATTTAAGAAGATAATTTTGCATGCATAACTAAATAAAATAGAGAATATATTAAAAGTGACATAATAAAATATATTTTACCAAAATAAAAATTGCACGCATGATCTTCAAACGAGCAGTAATATTGAAGTTCGATAATTCTTCAAACAACAACTTACTTGATTCATTTACAAATTATTATTTGTTATTGTATTTTAAAAATTTTTATGCGATACACATCGACTGAGATAAATAAAATAATTATTATCAAGAGAAATTATTATTTACTTTATTCTTTTTTTCTTGTACTAAGGTTGTTTCTATTTGGTTTTTCCCATAAGATTTTCAACAAGACAAGATTTTTAATTTTATAACAGTTTTTCATGTATTAGCAACAAATTTTTACTGGTAATAATAATCTGTTTGGTTATAGATGAATTGTATATCAAAGGCTTCACTGAAATTTTTGGACCCAAACAATCTTCCGGGCTTAAAACCAAGCTTGAAGCGTATGCTTTCCCTGTAAGGCGAGAATTATTAGTACATGGAAGTTTAAACCATGGGCGCCGCTATAATTATCTAAATAAAAGTTCGAGACAAGCCTCCTGCTTGGTAGAAACCCTAGGGCTGCGTTTTAACGACGGGGGACGATGGAGTTCTCTCAAAGCGACTTTGATCGGCTTTTGTTGTTCGAGCACGCTCGTAAAACTGCTGAAACACAATATGCCGTTGACCCCCTGGATTCTGAGGTTACTCTCTTCTCATTTCGTTTTTAATACTCACTGTATATTGTCCAAATTCATATCTGATATCGCATTTCTCTGTGTCTGAAACACTAGATGTTGCTTTTTTTGTTTTCCTTTTCAATTCAGTTTGATTAGGCGTTGATTAAGCTATTCGCTTTCGAATTAGTAAGGGCCTGCTTGTATTTATGTTCTTCTCTTCTTTTGGGTGTATCTCTAATTATTTCCGACTATTTGAATTACTATTCACTTTACATACATGTGTGTATATATATATATATATCTATATCTTTTTTGGGATATATATATCTTCATAGATTTTCTTTCTTTTTTTTATGGTCTGTTGTATGTCCATGGCTGCTGTCCGTTCATTATTATTTCAATTTGATTAGAGTGTGACTGAGGTATTAAACTTTTTGAGTTGCCATGCTCATGATAGTCTTTCTTCCACCAACTCTATAGTTTTGGTAGTTAGATCATGTTTGATTGGTAATAAGTGTCTCTCTCAACATTGAAACATGTTGAATCTCCTCTCTGCAGAATCTAACCAAATGGGGGGGAGCATTGCTCGAATTATCTCAATTTCAAAGTGTTCCAGATGCAAAGAAGATGATAAATGGTACTTCAATTTCCTTGTTCGCATATCTTTCTTGATTCAGCTTTTCTCTTTTTACTTTAGTCTTCATGGAGTGAATGTTAAATATATAGATGCCATTTCGAAGTTGGAGGAGGCATTGACCATAAATCCCGCCAAAGGTGATGCTTTATGGTGCATAGGAAATGCCCACACGTCATATGCGTTTTTAGTACCTGATATTGATGAAGCAAAGGTGTATTTCAATAAAGCATCTGAATATTTCCAAAAAGCAGCTGATGAGGTAATTCTTTTAAGTTTCAGGCTTGAAGAGTCGGCTATAATAGAATATTCTAGAGTTAAGCAGAACCTCAGTGATGTAATTTATTGTTGTAGGATCCAAGTAATGAGCTATACCGCAAGTCGTTGGAAGTTGCAGCTAAGGTATTATATCTGTCTTATTTTCTTTTGATTCTTAAACCTTAAATGTTGTTGTTGATTTGTACACATGCTTGAATGGAAATTCAAGACTAATGTAATGTGCTAAATTAAGTGGCTAGTAGGAGTCCAATATTGTAATTGAGCTTTAAATTGGATGTCTTGTATATAATAATTTTGAACTTCTACATTTTTCTTTGGTCTATATATTGATGATTTTCGCCTTTGAGGTGGTTTAGAATTGGCACTCCCTGTAACCATTGTCCGATCTTTGATGTTCTGCCTTAATTCTCTGGCAGGTGAGGCATTGGGACACGTACTCGACTATGTCTTTCTTCATTCCCTGTCACTAGTATTAATGCTCAAGTCTCGGTTCATCTTGGTACTCCCGGAATGGATGGATAGCTTATACTCTTGGTCAGTCTTACCAACATCCGCCCCTACAGTGACGGGAACCGAAATTTAATTATGAAGACGATACTTTCTCTCTTTTGAAATCTTGTAATAAGAAATTTCCTCAGAGAAGAACTTACTTAGATTTTATGGTGA